AGAGGAAGGAGTAGGAGAGGAAGTAGGAGAGGAGGAGGAGGAGGAGAGGAAGGAGGCAGAGAGAGTGAAGGAGAAAAGAAAGAGCAAGAAGTGGTGGCGGAGGCTGTGCTCTTTCTTCAGAGCTGCCAAAAAACAGCCTCCAGAAAGCAGCTCAGGTCAGGGAGAGGAGGAGCAGCAGCAGGATGAGGGACAGAAGAGGAAGGTGGCATGGGCAGGAAGAAGTAGTGATGGTAAATTACACATCCATCTTATGAGAATATGATTTTTCACTAGAGCTCTACTTTGACCATGTAAATCTATCAGGACCCTCACACACGATATCAAAAATACACATCAGTTCATGCAGGCATGGTCAGATCTTTATTCCAGGACATGTTAAAACATTATTGTTATATGTCTTTATGTACTAATACATGTTAAAACTATAAATATTCAAGATAGTCTCTATCAAGTAAAATAGTCATTCAAATTAATAATCTATGAAAATTAGTTTAAATAGTTTTTAGGTTAAATACAGCATCTCACATCACAAGGCACTGAGTTCATGTGAAATTGTGTTACTTTTAATAGACTACATCTTCAGCCGTTACACTGTGGGCGATCAGCTGGGGAAAGGTGGATTTGGTGTGGTGTATGAAGGGACACGTCTGGAGGATAATCTTAAAGTAAGTAAAATATATAACACATTACCAAGCTAGCAAATGTTTTATCCTCTAAACCCTCTTCTTAGACTATTTTAATTATTTAATACATTTTATTTTTGTTGTTCATCAGGTGGCTTTGAAATACGTCACAAAGACCCAACACACGAAATGTATATTCATTGTAAGTACATTGCACTGTAAAAACAATATAAAATGTCTCATATTAATATTAACCACAAATTAAATTAACAAACTGGTCCAAGACTCAGCTAAATCCCTATTTGAATAACCACCTCCACGTAACAACATAAAAACTCAATTCTTCTAGCCTGATCAGCCAAATCCCCTTCCAAAAGAGATCGCCCTCACCATCCTGGCGAATAAAGGTCCCAGCGTGCCAGAAATACTCAGGCTGCTGGACTGGACGGACCACCCTGACCACTTCGTCATGGTCCTCGAATGTCCCTCTCCCTGTGAGAATCTCGTGGAGTTCATCAGGCGTCACGGTGGAAGTCTTAATGAAGAAACAACACGGCAGATCATGTGGCAGGCGGCTCACGCCACAAACATGTGCCACCTCCGCAGAGTGCTCCACCGTGACGTCAAACTTGACAACCTTCTGATAAACAGGGAGACATCCGAAGTCAAGCTGATTGACTTCGGATGCGGGGACATTCTGAGGAGGTCACCGTACAAGTCATACCGTGGTATGTATGATATAATTCACTTCTTCTAATAGATACAGAACTATCATGCTGCATTAATGCAAACTTATACATCATACAAACTCCTCTCTCCTCCAGGCACAGCAGCGTACTCCCCGCCAGAGTACCACAGCAGGGGCAAGTACTACGGTGGGACGGCGACGGTCTGGTCACTAGGGATTGTGATGTTCGCATTGTTGTGCGGACGCTTCCCTAGTGACTATGACCTGTTCCTGCTGCAGTACAAGCGCTGGTCCAAACCCGGCCTGTCAAAGGGGAGATCTTCAACTAAAAAAAAAAAAAAAAAAAATTCAGAATCATACAAAACATCTTAGAGCTTAGAATAAATAACATGATCAAATAGAGCATATTTAAAGTAATTTAAGGTGTAAAGTTAAAGGTTATCAAATGTCTTTCCCGTCTTCCTGCACAGAATGCTGTGACCTCCTCAGGGCTCTCCTGCACGAGAAACCAAGCCGGAGACTTGGTCTGGGGCAAATCATGTCCCACAACTGGTTTAAGGTAGTGAACCTAAGATCAGCTATAAAGAATTAATATCCTCATGAGAAAGAACCAAAAAGTCAAACCTGTTCTTTTTTGTGTTTTGTTTCAGGTCGTCTCATAAGACCACTCCAGTTGGCGTCTCTCATGCAGCTTTGCGTCTTGCGGGCTGCAGCGGGAGACGCTTCCATCCCTCCTCTCGCCTTTGCGTCTTGCGGGGCGAGCAAGCCTTGTGTAGCGTCTTGCGCCTTGGCTTGAGGAAGCAGTATTTGCGTCTGGCGGTACTGCTTCCGGAGGGATGTGTACATATTGTATATATGTACATACTTCTTTTGGTTGCCCCTTTTTGTTTTTCCCATCATTGCCACTCCATTCCTGAGGTCCCTGCCACAGCTGTCCAAATGCCAGAGCTCTCTCCCATTCTCTGCCATCAAGCAAGCCAAAGATACTAAAGAGGTTCCCGCTATGGCTGCTCCACACCTGTCATAGGCACCCCAGTGGTGTCATTGCGTCCTCAGAGGTTCCTGTAAAGGCCCGAGCCAAAGACAGCCCCAAAGGCTGTCTCAGTGCACAGCCACCCTGGGCTCCAGTCTCCCAGTCATCCCTATACAGGCCCAGAGGTGTCTGTCATGGCCAGATATTACAGTCATTACTTCTTCAGAGGTTCCTGACTGTGATGAGGTTCAGCCACAGCCAGAAATCAAAGCATTTCAGTTCAAAAGCTCCCATGTCAGCCACTCTGGTCTCCAAGCTCCCTTCATCTGTCATTGCCTCTTGGTCCTGTTACTCCTATTAAAGCTGCCAAAGATGGTCCTTTATTAGGCGCCATGGTCTCCAAGCTCCTTGCAATGTTAGCTCAGTCCCAGAGCTCCCTGCCTCAGAGATTCCTGCCACAGAATGCAAAAGTAATGCATTCGTAATTTGAACAAATGATTAAAAATGAGTTTCAGAATGTTCAGTTAATAAAAAAATATTTTTAATTAAAGAAACATTAAAAGTGCACTTCAAAGTGTCTACTTCAAAAAAAAATAAAATAAATAAAAAGTAAAATTAATATTTTTGACTAAATTTTTAAATGACCTACACGACATACAGATCCCAGTCTTATACAGGTCAGTGTTCTAGAAAAAGTTGCATAATTCTGCACTAGGGAATTGTTTACAAACAACAGCTGTCAAGTATTTATGAAAATACTATTACGTATGACAGGTTACGAATTGTAATCAAACTTTGATTTACAGATAAGGAGACAGTAGTTGATTGCATAGCAATAAAAATCTCCAACAGTCTGTCAGCTGTAGCCACAGATATGTGATGGGTCAGGAATAAGCACTAGGGGAAAAAAAGAAGACAATCAACACTTAGTGTAACACAAACTTAACAGTGTGCATACATCTCATGAGAAACCAGGCTTAAGACTTAATAGTTATGTTTCACTTCAGACCAACGGTGTCTCAGATGTTTCTCCTAAAATAAGTCAAAATAAAACTAGATTGACTTTTGCGTACACACTTTGGTGTCTTGGCAAATTGAAGCATAGTTTGAGACACAGTTGGGATTTCTTCAGAAACTCTACAGGGTACAGATGTGAGATAACGCCATCTGACATTTAAGAGCCTAATGTTACTAATTGTCCGTCTCTTTTGTTTCCCGTGTTTTTCCCCATGAATGAAAATTAGCTCATTTTCTGAAGGCCAGTCTAAAGCTTGAATTATTAAAGTGTGGTTCATTCAGGAGGCTGATCACTTCATCTGGTAGACGGATTTACTGCATCTCTTGCATTGTCCCCATGCTCATTTTACGATTCTTTTGTTCTGACAGTGACGTTCCAGTCTGGGTTACGGCAACTGCATTGTGCTGATAACCAAGCCATGGCATGAACATAGACTTTGCCTTTAATGCATTGTGACAAGCTCAGAGAAATAGAAGTACTTGAATTGAATTTGCCACAGATTTACTCTAGTCAAAGTGCAGAAATATTTCAGAAATGATCCTGAGAAATAGAATGCACCGGTGTTGAATTTCAAATGTCATAGCAAAGGGTTTGAATACTTAATGCACTGTGATTATCTCAGTTTTGTTATTTTGTATAAAATTGCAAAGTTACGACAAATCTGTTGTTTGCTTTGCCATTATGGGTTATGGAGTGTAGACTGATGTGATAATTATAAATAATTTATATAAATAGAAAAATGTATTTTAAATGGAAATAATTTAACATAGCTATAATACTGCATCTTGAAAAAATGTCTTCTGATTTGCTAAAAAAGGCATAATAATATCTAATTTGATGATGCTGAGTTCAAAAATACAAATAAAAAAATTCTATTACATACAGGTTTTTTTCACATAATAAGAATGAATAATTTTTCAAATAATTTATATGTATCTACTTTAATGCTCTTATCAAAATAACAAAAGCAGTCGAATGTCAAACGTTTAAAAAATGCACATCATATTTTGTGAGAGCAAAACAGGCACTATTTTGGAATCAGCACCTCAGTATTAGTAAGAAACAAGAATTGGATTTCACTCAGTAAATATGATGTTGCCCATGTGTGTTATATGTTTTTATGCTTATTATCAGTTTATAGTTCACCAACATTTACTAATGAACAAACTCAAGTGTCATGCTGTTTGGATGATGCTCGGAATTGCTGCTTAATGCATTTACAAAGCAAGGCAGCTCGCTAGATTTTGGAACAGAACTAAAGTGTCAAAAGTAGAACCATTTTTGGTTCCCCAAAGAATATTTCAGCAAACTTTTCTTAAAAGAACCATTTTGGAACCTCTTGTGGAAAGGTTCCATGGAGGTTAAAGTTTCTTCATAGAACCATCAATGCCTTTAAAGAGTGTATACTCTAGTATGAACTCTGACCTGGTGAAGGGCGCCAGCGTCCCGAGCCCCACAATTCCTGTTAGGCCGTACAAGCAGATCAGGATGGAGCCGATGATGACGTCAGCTCGCAGCACGTATGACTGCCAAATGACGAAATAGAGTGCCAGCAGCACTGCGGCACCTGTGGCAATCAGATTCGAAGCTGTGTAGCTCTCGCTCTCCTGTAGGTTCCCCCTGATCCCTGAGGAAGAGTGGCCAATACAAATTTTTACTCATGGATTGCCTAAACATAAACAGGATAATGCCAAACTTACCCCAGTACACCCTCAGGACCTCAAGACTGGCCATGAGAAACAGTAGATGCACGTCTAAAGCGAACACATAAGCTGTCATAAAGATAGCATCAAAACCACAAGTTAGTTCAAATTGCTAACCATATGCATGCACGAACAATAGTACTAGTGATGACTGACCAACCAAACACCACTAATGACCTCAAAAAACATTACAAATACACTTTTAAAGGACTTAAAGAGGAAGTACTCACTCTTGTAGATGATCATGGAGAGGGTGGACAGGAAGTAAAACACACTGTAAGCTGCTGAGAGATACAGCAGGATTTGGAGCAGCACAGATGAGAGCTGCTGTCAATTAAGGCTTAAAACATAGAAGTATTCTTTGGAGTATCTTATCAATACCTTATGAGTATATGAATATGAGGCTACTATAGTAAATTTAATTATTCAATAATTATAATGGATTTTAATTGAGTTAGCAAACAGGATGCAAAAATGCATTTTAATTTTTAATGTAGGAAAGAATTATATTGTTTTATAAATATTAAAAATATTAACAATTTTATTTTAAAAAAATGTAAAATATTTACAAAAATATTAAATATTAATTGAAATGAAAAGAAATTTAAATAACCATAACATTTCACGTATATATAGCTGGTAAAATTAAATTTGCCAAAACACGTTTTGAATATTGAGTTGGCATAAACTTTTAAAGTTTTGAAAAGGCTTTAGAGATGATAGATAGATAGACAGACAGACAGACAGACAGACAGAGATAGACAGGCAGACAGATAGATGATAGATAGATGATAGAAGGTAGGTAGGTAGGTAGGTAGATAGGTAGATAGATAGATAGATAGATAGACAGATGATAGATAGATAGATAAGATAGATATATAGATAGATAGATAGATAGGTAGGTAGGTAGGTAGGTAGGTAGGTAGGTAGGTAGGTAGATAGATAGATAGACAGGTAGACAGGTAGATAGATAGGTAGGTAGATAGATAGATAGATAGATAGATAGA